TCTTCCGATTCTCTCCCCCATCCCACCTGAGGGGTGTGAGTGAGTGGCTGTGTGGTGCTTAGTTGCTGGCTGGGGTTAAACCACGACACTTTCAAAATTAAAAAGAAAAACGTGAGTACTCAAGCTGTTGTTCTAGATCTGACATGTCTCACCGAAGCTGAGCAGGGCCATGCTGAAAGAGGAATGCAAAGCAGATACCTGTAAGAGTATCAAATAGTACAGAATGATGTATGGAACCTGAAAGCTGTCTTGCAGAGGGAATGGAAACATAATTACAGAAATCCTGAAACTGACGGAGCCGTGGTTTAACCTGGGACATTTTTTGGTGTCTGTGTTTCAGTCGCATGTATTTGGAAACACCTGTTATGTCTCAAGTGGAAGTTGCATTATCTCACGTTCTTGGTGAAAGTGTCTGGGAAGCCTTCTGAAGGAATCCAAAGCTCTTTTGACATCCAAAGAACGCAGTTTCATCTCTTTGTTGTTTATGTGAGGTTTGGAAATAAATGCAAGTAACTGAGGAATTCAACTGATACTAAACTCCAAAACTTTCTTCCTGAAGCATGCAGTTCTCATTCATCACCTTGAAGAAACACCTGGTAGCATGCTTTCAGCACCAGGCAGGTGAGCTCCTGCAGAACTGATTGGATAAAGTATATGCTATTTCCAGAGCTTTATTACCTCCTGCAATAGGGAAAAAGTGCTCCCTTTGTTTGTTTATGTATGCCACTGGCATGTTGTCAGTCGTTGCTCATTTGGGCTATTTTTGAAGGCCAGTGAAGGCTAAAGTAATGTTGTATGGGCTTGAAAAATAAGACCAATTACTGTAGCTATGCAACTGAAGTGAAAAGAGTTTGAGAGTGAGACAGACAGGCAGGTGGATAATAGACTAGCAAGAGGATATCTGTGGTCCGTTAGAAGAGTGCACTCTGCAGTAGTGTGGCCTCTACCGCTGATGTGAAGCAGAGCATGTGCTGCAGTGGGTAATGTTCCTAGGGGCGTCCCACTCTCCTTTATTCCCACCCTTTCCCCAGGAAAACATCACTGGCTGTTTAAGCCAAGTTGAGTGCTGGTAGCTTGGATGGAGTACTGCTCTGTTTCCACTTGGTACACTCTCATGAAGAGCAAGGCAGGTGCATGGACTAAGAACTGCTGTTGGAAAAGAAATCAGCAACTCTTGGCATACATCTACAGCCATAACAGAATAGATGCACAGATGAGCACTTGCCAGGATCCCATGACAGTAGAAGTCCTTAGAGTTGTTAAAAGGAAAATCAAAATGGAGAAACTATTTTAGCCTACCGTGAGTTAAATTTATGCTTTTCGTTTTCTTTGTGCAAAGTCCAGAATCTCTCCCTGCACGCATTTTAAAGGGACTCTGTTCTTACCTTCTGTCTTGACACTGAAGATACATCCTGGGGTTTTGTAGGTAACCTCTGGACCAAAGCAATGCTTTTCATATTGTGTTCCTTAATTTGCTTTGCATATTCCTTTTGTTGCTTTACTTTCTCTTTCTGACAGAAGGGAAAAAGTGTATGGTTAATTAAATGTCTCAGTAGATCCATCAATGAAACACTTTTTCCACTGGAGTCTTCCATTTACACCTCTGTTGCTGTTTAACCTGGCTATGCTATTGATCATTCCTCAGCAGAACACAACAGGAAATCCTGATAAATGGCACAGCTTTTTTAGTCACTCTTCATTTTTAAGAGCTTTTTCTTGGACCGTATCGAGGATAGAACTCAACAGAAATGATGACAGATGCATCTTTATTCTGAACATTTCAAAATATCTGTTCGGTTCTAAAATGGCTGTGCTAATTTCTGCCAGCTTTTGCAATGACTTTTAAAACCTCTGTACTTACTTTTAAGGGCCTAAATGACATGTTTTATTTACTTAACTGATATTCTGTGTCTTTAGATTTCCAGCAATTCATTATGCTCAAATTCAGCACTCTACCTTGCCCCTGTTATCAGCCAGTGTCAATTATTTCCTTTCAATGCAATGATACCCCAGTGACATGCCAGGTTCCAGAAGTGTTATGATGGTGTTAAAAACGCACAGAGTCCTGGGCTATGCACCACTCTGTCCATTCCAATTTCAGATCTCTAATCTGTTTCATTTATGGCAAGGAGGAAGAAAATACAGGGGCTTCTCAATGACTCCAAAAGGATGATTATTTTATCATTTTTCCTTCCTGCTGTCCTACAATGTTTCTATAAAGAATGCCATATAAAGCACCTGTTGTCAGATTAATAGGGTCTCAAAGCATGCAGGATGGAGTTTGCAGCACCCTAGATATACAGCTGCTACCAGACCCTCATTATCAGCAGAGAACAAGTCAAATGATACCAATTGTTCAGATACTTGTTCTGAACAATCTGTCTCCATTTCCATTGCATCCAGCTATTTTCTTCTTGTGTTTACACAACTTCTTCTTTTACTTCCACTTTGAAGGTTAGGCAAACTTTCTACACTGGGAATGACAATGCAACTCAGTCACATGAGTGTGTAATTTACTGATGTGCAATTAGCCCTGTTGAATTCTGTGAACTACTCCCTGTTTCTGGAACTACAAAATTAGAGGGTTAAAATTATCCACAATAGTTGTCTTTCCTTCTATTTAAATCTCCCCTTAGGATCTCAAGCTAGAGTCAAGGACATAAAGTACCAGACAAACATAAGTTGCTTCTCAGCAGTGATTTTGTTGCCATTCTCCCCTGCCTAAGTTTACTTTGCACAACTGAAAAGTAGATCATGTAATAGGGACCACTTACTTTCTCTTTGATTGCTTCATAGTCAGGTCCAAGGCCTCCAAGCTTCACATTCAGATTTATGTAGGCTTTTGAGCTACATGGCTGAAAAACAAACAGCAGTGACAGATTTTCCTTTATATGATTTCACAGAGAGCATAATTAAAGCAAGTCTTGTAGCAGACAGCCAAGATAAGAGCAGGATTCAACTTGTGGTCTCAAGTCTTACCTCTGGCATGTCTCATTTTAAGGATTGTAAGCGACCAAAAAGACTGAGTTAATTGCACAAATCAAATTACACTGTATTTCCTTTGAATCTAGGTGGGTAATTGCCAATCATCCAAATCACAAAGCAATACTTTCTCAGTCAAAAATGATCTTTTGTGAGCTTTATTTTTAAACAGCTTAAAGTGACCCATTTGACTGTTACTAGAATGAAACTCCAAAGAAACTGTTGAAAGAGAAGCAGATAAAAGTACCTGATTTTGGTGGTAAAAAAATTAGGCAAATGTGACTAGTAATAGTAACCTTTCTTTGTTCTCAAAACTGCAATGGAAAATTGTTCACAGACAGTTGAAAAATACATGTCTTGCAGCACAGCAAAAGCTTTACAAGTGCATAGGGAAGACAGAAGATGAGTGATGGGTGATGCCATTTCACGACGTTACTACAAAGACCCCAATACTTCCAGAATCTTTTTAATCTCTTTCAAGAACACTAGATTAATTTTTAGAAGTGGCCTACCTTTTAAAAACTTGTCAGTGGAAACTCATTATGATCAGCTCTGTAGTAATTTCAGTCACAGAGTAATGCAGAAACACCAAGAAATTTCTATATGCAAATAAAATGTGCATTTCTTCAAAGGACATGTTGAAATTAAACTCAACTGCAGAGAAACTAATTCTATGCACTGAATTTTCTATTTGATGTTTCTTTGTGTCAGTTATCCCTATTCTTTTGTGATATATTTACATCTAACTTTTATTTTAAGATACTGTGAAGAGTTAATCATTTAGCTGTCTCCAACAAAATAAGGGTTTTCTCACTTCATGCGATGAGTATGACTGCATTTGTTTATTAGGAAAAGCTGGATTTTTCTGTGAGACATAAACAGTCTTATTCTCTGTGGCATTCTTCACATATGAAGCATGAGAAAGCCACTGAAAATACAGGACAGAAATAATGGTTTGAACTCAGGGGAACAGAAAGGGAAGGAAACCTGCCCTTCAGTTACTATCATAATCCAGCTAATTCTTCTTAGAGGCATTCAAGCAGCAATATACAAACTGCCTCCTAGACGAAACAGATGAGTAATTATTCCAGCTTAGTTTATCTGCCCTGAGACTTGGAGCTAACTTCTTAAACATTTAATTTGTCATGGACACACAGGGATATCTCTATGCTGTTCCACTGCATCTGTGTTAACTGGTTACAGTATGAAACTGGACACACAGAAAAGACAAAAAGAACCAAGTTTTTATAAGGACCAAAATGGGATCATCAGGAGACTTGTAATAATGTTTATGCCGTTAGCTTTACAAATCCTCTAAGTTTGTTGTTCTTCGGTTTGACTCCCTTGGAAACCAAGAGATTTGAGTTGGATAGCAAATGAGCATGACCAGGATAATGGTTTGCTCAGATCTGAGGCCTGGCTACCTGCTGCTTTATACAAACAGCTTTATTCTAAATCATTTTATCATTGGTTAACTTAAAGGACAAACACTACTCTGTGTGTTCTTAGAACTAATCAAGACTGAAAGTGACATAGGGAGAGGTGGTGGTGGTGAACAGCCTTGCTCTTTAGACTAAAATGATTTTAGCGTCTGTTTCCACCTTTGTTCCTTGGGTTTTAATGCTCTGGGCAAGTCAGTATGTGTCAATGTGCTCTCTGTAACAATGAAATATTTCTCAGTCCCCGTTCCTTTTTTTTTTTTGGTGAAGATCTTTGGATTATTAAGAAAAAAAACATTAATCAGAGGGGGAAATAGAAATGTAAAACCATCCAACCCACATCTATTTGCTTACCTTCTTGCTGACTTTAGGCTGTTTTTGCTTTTCCATTTGCATGAGATATCCTTCTGAGTTGCTTCGGCTTATTTTCACTTGATTTCCTTCACCGCTCTCTGGATCTACCTCTGAACCACTTTCTACCTGTGGGATTATAGGTGGAAGTAGGCTGAACAAGTGCCTGTCAGCTAAGTGAGCTTCTGTCAACTGAGTGATTTCCTGGTGATGTCGCTCCATCGTTTGTGTACATTGGGAGGTTGTACAAGGGGCTGTTGATGAACTGTGAACAGAAGATTGAGAAGGCCTCAAAAAAGAAAGAGGGGGGAAAATAAGAATCTTCATTTGTATATAGCAGATAGCTCAACTAGCAATCTGTACATGGAATGATCCTTGCTCACAGAATATACGGGGAACACGAAGATGGAAAGATGGGTATTTCACAATGACTGACTTTGTTTGCACCCAAGTGTATGGAAACTGTTTAAAATGAATGGAAAAAATTATAGATAGGGAAACTTTCAGCCTGATGCAAAGCTAGCTTAAGCCAATGAAAACTGCCTTTGAAAATGGCTTTGGATTGGGCCTGCTGAGTACTGAAAGAATTAATTGTCTATGTGAAATAAAACCTTCAGTTTTATCAAGGCAGGTGAAATTCTACATAACTAAGGATTTTCATGCCCTTCCCCATGTGTAGCGAGCCAGAATTGGCACTGGAATGACTGGATATTCACTCTGGAAGGCAAGTTTTGATATAACTCTATGCAGCTAACAGTGGACTTAGTTTACGCACAGTGCTCTTTGCTATCTATTTCTCAAACTTCACCTTCTAGACTTTCAGAAGGAAACTTTTAATTGTGGAAAATTCTATATGCAAGAAAACCTGGAGTACAAAACTGTCCTTTTCCAATAACATATTTAAAAATCAATAGTTATAATGAATCTTAAGTTAGCAGTAATCTATAGTGGCAGGTTTGTAGGAAAATAATTTTATACTTTGGAGCTTAAAACATTTTCTTGTGCATTTCTATTTTTTCTGGGCATCATAGTGTTATGATAATACTGTTTCAACACTTATATCCTTACCATAAACTACTGATAGCATAGTTCTGATACCTTTTATCCACACAAATGTGTCTTTTGCAATCCTGAAGTGACACTTGATCCTTCACCAATTCTTGAAAATTGGCATTAAAAGTAGATGAAATATTCCTCTGTTTTGGATGTGCTTGACCATTGGTACTGTTATCTCTTGCAAAAAGCTGCACAGTGGCATGGTTGTATAAATGTTGCTGGTCATGTGGAAGTCCATTTGGAGACTCATGCTGGTATTTCTTCTTCTCCTTGCTGGTATATGCTGGAGATACAACCTCTGCTGGGTTAAATTTATGTAATGTTGAATGAAAAGGATAGATAGATGTGATAAAATCCTGATTGACAAAATGTCTTGAATTTGGGAAATCATTTAAGCAAGTATCTGAATTTTCTGCTGTATTAGTGTCAGGGCCAATAGAAGGACTTGGATACAGCCATTTCTGCAGTGCGCTGCTGTTGTCTTGCTCCACTGCCTGCATGGGAGCAGTCTGAAATTCTGATATTCGGTGGTATCTCTGGTGCGAAGACTTTGGTTCTGCTGATCTTCCTGGTGGTTGTTGGCTATCACTCCTTGGGAAAGCTCTCCCTTTGAGATTCTGGTTGGATTTTATTTTATTTCTCTGGGAGGACTTATTTTGGTGATCCTAAAACAAGTTATTAAAAACAAGTTATTAAAAGTGGGGTGAATTTCAGTAGTTGCTATTTTATATGTTCATTAAGATCAACAATATACAAGTGTATGGGTAAGTTTGCCTGTCACAATGCCTTTCATGTAGCTATTTCTTAGAATTCTACAAACTAACTGATTAACTGATGTTTTGACTAGATTACATCCTGTTCTATGATTCAATTCAGGACAACATTCTTATTTTACACAGCCCTTAAATAGCTGTGCAGGTTACAACTAAGCTGAGTTCTGAACATGCACTGAACTTTGAACATGTGTTGATGTGGTGCCTTGAACAGGCCTGAACAGGCTGGAGTGCATAATCATCTGTCCCTTTAAAAATCAGAGATGTGTGGAGCCAGCCACCCCTGTTTAATGTACACTCACAACTAGAAAAAGGTTATAACAATGTTTTATACAGCTGAATGAGTATCGTGATGGAAATCAGTTTTAAAAGTGAGCTCTTAGCAGAGAGTGAAGTGTAAAAGGAAAAGCATCTGTGTCCTGAAGACTAGGTATAGAGAACAGTCTTTCTTTGTGGCATTTGTAAAGCTTCGGGTTTGGGGTTTTTGAATTAACAAAACTTGTCCTTATAGAAGGGCCCTTAAAGAGACCTACGTATGGTATTAATCCTTCACGACTATGATAACAGTTCTTTAACGTACTGATAATGAGTTAGGCCAGTTCGCACAAGTTTGATTAGACCCACCAAAATCACTCTGTGCTGCTTGTATCTAACCCTGACTCAGTAAATTATGCTCGTGGCTAGACCAGGTGATGGCCTGGCTAGACTTAATCCAAAATTAAAATATGTAGGAACCCCTAGTCAAGAACAGAAGCACAGATGCCATTCAGGTGCTGCACAGACAATGCGTAATACTGCATCAAAACTTGCTTAGTGGCCTGAGACAAATTCTGAAGCAGAACACTATAAAAATGGTTCCTTACAGATGCAGAGCACATCTAAGAAATTATGCTGTGGTAAATATGGAATAAGGGAGTTTTATCTGAATGAGGTGCAAAAATAGGTGCCCTTAAATGCACGGGACTACTTGTTTCTAATCCTGTAGACAAGTGGTAGCTCACTGTCAAGCATCTGGGGAAAATGTTTCAAAAATCAAATCAGTTCTTGGTTTTTATCCTCTAATGAAAGTAAACTGTACTAAATTTCAGGAAAAAATGGCTATATACACACTATTAGACTGGTCCACAGTAGAAACAGACTAATGTCAATGATTTAAATTATTTCATTTCTAAACCAAGCACTCCTCCCTGCCCTGTATCCTGCAAAACATTACCCAAATGATAAGAAACAATTTAAGAATCTAAGCACACCAGGACTACTGTCTTGAGCTAAACTGACATACTCTAAAATCTGGAGTTTATTTAAGATTTATCACTTTCCAATTACAGCATCAGGTGTTGCCCATTTTGAGGAAAGACATGGCTTTCCTTCTAAGGAATATACAAATCCATTCTCAGTCCATTTAATCTTTGTCAGTGCTAAAATCCTCCATTTCATCCTCCTGTCTCTCTAGGGTTCTTTTGTTAGCAACACTTGCAGTAACTACATAGCATATGCACTCACAATAACTACTTAATGGTAGGTATTAAATCCACATATAGAGCAGAATGTTTTGGCGAAAGCTTTAGCACTGGGGGATCCTGACTCCTGGTGCCAAGATGATGATTTGTTAGCTCGACCTCTGCTGTAACGATTAATGTTCTGGCATACTATGCCACTGGTGGAAAGCGTGAACTGCTGCCAAACTGGGATCAGGCCAATGTTTTCCCATTTAAACAGAATGAGGAGCCCTGTAAAATACCTCCTTCATGCTGAAATTCCATATATAAAGCACATCTCTCACAATGAACAGCACCATAAAATCTTGTTTGTCCTTTACAGAAGTGCAGCTTCCAGTCTTAAGTAAACAGCGGGGAATTTAAACAGTCTGCCTGAATTGCTTCAAATACTTGTAATAGAAAGAGAGTAACTAGGTTTGCCAATAATAATTCCAGTTGGCTTGAAGTTCTGGTTCTGAAGTTCTTGGTTTTTCATCAGTGATGATAACCTGGTCTCTTTTATTGCGCCAAAGACTATCCCATTGCATTGGTAAGAAAGATCAGCATAAAACAGATCTATAGACTTATGTGTACAGAGGAGGTCAGTGCAACTTTTTCTACTTGTAACATTTTCTGTTTTATGGTAAGCCCTTGATGTTCACGGGGATTTTAGGGGACAAGTAATGCAACAGTAGTTAACTTCTAGCTCAGAATCCTCATGAACCATCAAACATGACCATGTACTAGTTTGCACTTTTACATTATTATCAACCCAATAATGTCCTTAATAGAAAAGATTATTTGACTCAGCATTTCTTGGGATTTGGGATCTATTTTGATTTAAAATCATTCGGTACATAAAGCAGCATATGCATTAAATTTTGGTGATTATCTACTGGTATATATCTAAGGATTTATTGTCAGTAATTGGTACTTTAAAAGTAATGAGATTACAGGTTTAAATATTCAAACTTCAATGCTTTTATATATATATTTCAATTATCATGTTCTATCAAAAAGGAACCTTGAGCTGCTGTGCTTTCAGGTACCATTTGTCTTCAGGCTCCATTTTCACAGTCTGGAATGGTAGGACACTCTGAACTGGTTCCTCATCGACAGTTTTAGGATCTGTAAGCTAAAAACCAAAAATATTTATGGCCACAGCCCACCTAGATGAAAGGATTTAAAAGTCTTGGGGAAAGAATGAGAAATAATTTGCCTCCTATTAAAGCTACAATGCTAAAGTTAGGCATTATATAATAGATAACAAGAAAATGAACGGCTAAAAGAGAAAATGAAAAAGAAGGAAAAAAAACAATTAATAGTGGTGTGGTAGTAGGGAGTATTCCTTGTACTTTTAAGAAGGGAGGAAAAGAAAATTGCAGAAAGTATGCAGCACAGAAACCTACTTGTAACTCTCAAATGTCTCTATAAGAGCCAGTGGATGTACCTAATAACAGAAAAGCAACTAGACAATCACCATCGTCCAAGCAATCAGCCAGTGTACCAAGATATTAATGGATGACACATACCATAGCAAAGTCTTGAACAACAAGAGTCATGCAGAAAAAGATGGCAAAATATAGTAATATTGGTAGAAAAGTACAAGGAGCAGCTGCAGAAATAAAACATCTAATACACATAGGCTGGCAACAATATCAAACAGCTTGTGCAAAATAGCAAGCCCGCAAACAAGAACATCATCTTCACATGGCCACAGTCGTGGTATCACGATGGCTGGAAATCAAATTTGAGCAATTTTTTGAGGGTGGTTGCTGGCATTACAGATTTCAAAGCCAAGAGATATCCTCATAAATACGGCAATAATGAAATTTTTTCTTGAAAGCATCAATTTTTTTTTTCCCAATCTATACAACTTCACAAAACCCAATGTTTTCTATTTTTTATTTATACTTGTGTTGTCCCAAACTATCCTGCTAAGTACTATAGTAGGTGTGACCTCAATTAAGTGTGCAGTTAGGCAGTCTCACTGTAAAGAGACTACAGCTAACTAAGTGCTGGACTCATGCATGTGGTAGAAGTACCTACGCACCACTACAGAGTGACACTGGCTAACACAGGAGAACTTGCGCTGAGGAGATATTTGTGACCAAGAGAATTATTAACTGAAAATCAAAATTTCATTAACTGAAATCAGCGTGAAGGAAATGTTAAATCCTTCTGGGGAGCTGAGCTTCTCATCTTTGGGGGTGAGAGATTAGGACAACTACGAAAAGGTAGGTAGGGTCTACTGCTGAGTTTTCAGGTGATCTCATTGCTCCAAATGGCGACGCAGATTCTATTAGTTGTGACTAGAAAAGTTCACAAATTAAAAGTTACCACACAGGTTTTCTGAACTGTGAATAGATACAGCTTTGCAGTCAGTAAGATGTTTTTGGTGGAACCAACAGACTCACTGTATTGATAGTTTACTGGACAGGTAAAGCATACTTCTACATTATCTCTTTGAAAGAGGAACAGGACACAACCTCTGCCAGCATTTTTTGTGAACTATTCTATTAATACCAATCAAATTGAGAAAATGATCAAATGAAATTGCATTTTGAGCATCATAAGCTGTGTAATGCCTATTCTGTTAAATTGAGGCCCATAATTGCTTCTCTACTGAAAAGATACAACAAAGACAGCAATCATGGCATGTCATTATCCCAGACTAGAAAACCGGCCTTTGCAGTGAGGACTTCAAAGGCTTGTGGTTCTCGAATTGCATTTGGCTGCTATTGTTGAAGCGCAGGCAATCTTGATTAGGTGTTTACACTGAGGTAAGGCGCAGTGCACAGAGAGTCTGAGTGCCTTGGTCTAGAGCCATTAAAAAATTGTACATTATGTTCCTTGCTTTGAAGTAAGGGGCTTGTAGGTAGGAAAGCAACTCATATTGAGTACAGCTGAGCTAGATTGGGCCACTGCTTCTCTCTCTTTCTCTCTCTCTCTCTCTCTCTCTCTCAAAGAAACTCATCATCAGGTTCTTAAAGAATCAGGCAACACTGCAAAGAACTTGATGCTTTATAAAATGCTATGTAAATTAGTAAATACACAGATCAACACACATTTATGGTATGTTTTGGTACATACAGCCTGCTGTCTGTATGCACAGAGATAACAGCTGTAAATCTTCCAAGAATGAGGCTGCAAATATTTTACCTATCGTTATGGCAGTTGAAAAAAGCTGTACGCAAAGTACTTACTTCAATATAAACACTATTTCACTACCACACTACCTGACAGCCAACAGCGATTGTATCAATAAAAACAGCTTCAACATCCTGCAAAGCTCAAAATAATCCAGTTTAGGAAAAAAGAGTATTCAGAACATGTTTGATCGCCACAGCAGAAGACATGTAGCTTGTCTGCTTCTTCGCATACTTGGTGTTTTTGCACTTTTTGGTACAGTTTTCCAGGTGAGGTGACCAAAATTGGCTCACGGGCCAGCTCTGGTCAACAAGATGCTTCCGTCAGGCCTTCTTTCACCCCCTTCAACTAGATGGAGCAATGGATGTCTCAATTAAGAACAAGAAAGGCAAGCACTTCTTCCTATGCCTATCCCTGGCAAATACAAAGCTAGCTGACAGTAGGTGGTGATGCTGCTGCGGCTGTATCAACTTGTTGAGGCAAAACCCACACCTTTCTACACACATGCTGCCTGGCTCCTGCTATGTCACAGCTGCGCTGTCCCCATGGCTACTTCAGCAAGGTAATCTTAGAACATAGCCCTGATTTTAACAGATTTTTTTTTCTATTACATATCTTTGAATAGTGTCTGCACAATGAAGTCCTGATCCCTGGCTTCAATACTTACATATGAAACATTTTCAGAATTCCCCAAATAGTAAACATAATCATATCAACACAGCTTTAATTAGCATCAATCTACACCAATTATTTTTACCATCAAGCAAATTATAACTGAAAAAAACAAGTGCTCTTAATAGCTCTGCGAGAAAAAAGCTTGTCCACCGTTACACTCATTGTAATGTAGTCAGCAGATGCCCTCTAGTGTTGTGTCAACTGTTCATTAGCCTTAGAAAATGTGTCACTTGAAGCAGAAAGTCTCTGTAGTTTTGCAAGTTAAGAATTTTCTGTGCTACAACTCGTGGAGTGATTCAGTGACTCCCACCTTCCCATTATGCATAATCAGTAGCAAGTAAAAGCAACAAACTCATGTATAATCGTTCATTAGGAACTGTAATTACATTTCCACTTAATCCTTAATACAAGTTGTCTGACATTTTGCAGTCAATCATAAAAAAGCTAGGCACCTCAAATCCAAGTACTGTACATGACTAGTATCTGCTGACTGATTTCAAATAGAAGGTTTGGTCTGGCTAAGAAAGCAAGTAGGGAGAAAGGGTTGTCTCACCACCCAAATCTGACACATATTTCTTGGATAATCCTACATGTGTGGCCCTAAATGACAGTAATAAGCAAGAGCGTGCATGGTCCTTTAAAGCAGTGTGACCACAATATGTTTTCTGTTTCTCAAACTCAATTGTAACTTCACATATTTTTTTTGTTATGATCAATGCAGGTGGAAAAACACTAACACAGCTTTTTAAGCCAAATGGTGACATCAAGGTTTCCTACTGCAGCTAAAAAATTGTGAGTGTTCTGCTATTAGAAGCAATTTGCATTTGCTGCATTGAGCAAAACAGAGAATATGCTATTAGCAGAGATAATCATTACCAAATTCGTGTTGGCTAAGCAGAGAAAAATCAGATGCAGCAAAAAAAGAACCACTGATAAGGTGCAATGTAGATCCCATAGGAAGGAAGACAGCATTTCTTTAGCATAAAGATTAAAAACTAGTGAGAGATCACCTCTGTGACCATGTAGACATGCTTCATGGCCAAGAATATACATAGCTTAACTAGGTTTGTAACAAGGCAATCACTGGGATTGTGAGTAACTGAGGACTTGTCAATTATTCCATAAAGGGTGATCAAGATTCTCGTTGGAAATCATAAATTATCAGTTGCAGGATAGATTGTAAATCTACTTACCTCCTCTGCAAACCTGATCATGCAGCTATTCCATTTTAACACCAGACAGTCCTCAGTTTATACCAATTAGAAAACATGTAAAAGTTACCCACCTGCTCTTGAAGAACTTCTTGCTTTTTATTGTGTAATTGAAGATAGGAATTTGTCTTTTCTGAACGTAATCCTAAAGTCCGTTTATTTTTTTCCACAAAATCTTTTTTTGCTCTTTGTGGTCGATCTTCTTGAATCTGAAGAGAAAAAGCACTGCCGTATGTACTGGGACTATCTTTGAAATGACAGCCATCTGCAGATTCCTTCCATTTGGTATGTAGCCTAAAAGGTTCACTGCTGACCACAGCATTTGGTTCATGAAAGCTTAGAAATTCTGTACCAAACCCTGAGAATGAATCTTGTGACTTTGTCTCCTGTTGATTCTTTTCTTCTGGGGAGCCATTGGAATGGAGGTAAAATGAATCTTGTGAAACGTCCACGCTGCCTCCTCCAGCAACTTGACGTGCCTTTTCTGCCTCAGAAAATTCTGCTACCTCTTTTGTGTTCTTCCAATTAGGATTGTATCTTAGGCTGAAATATTTGTCCACAGACTGTTGTTTCCTATTTAAAAAAGAAACACAACATTATTTATATATAAATCATATAAATTCTGTATTATTTCAATGTGCAATTTGAGCCAACAAATGTCCTGCAAATATGGTCAACTGAATTTTCAGTGCATACAGTATGGCCATTTGTGGACTGGGATCAGAACAGTTTTATCAAACAGTTTTTTAGTAGAAAATTTAGGCAGGACCTCCTCTTCATTTTTAATTTTCATTATCAGTGAATGATAAATTGGCCTAACATTCAGATCACAGTAGAATACAGTCTTTATCCTAAATTTAGCATAGAAATCATAAGCACTAGTAGAATCAACTAAAAGATGAAATTATTGTAAGATATTGCTTCTGTTGTTTCCTCTAAAATGATGTAGCCTACAAAAGACAGTATGTGTTGCTCATTCTTCAAAGACTCTGCTGTGTGAAAGAAAAGTGATATTCCTAGTAAAATCCCTCTCAAATGTCAGTAGAACTGTCTGAGCAAGAATAGCCTACAGCTCTGTATTTTTATTCTCTCTTCTCATTCCTATGAAACATCATGATGTTTCAATAAAAAATTCTCTATAAAAGACTTAAAGTAACTTCTCATTAAAAACAGGCTGTCATTGAGATAAGAGTAGAAAAATATAAATCAGAAAGGTTTGTGGGTTTGGCTTTTTTTTTTTAACAGGTGTCCAAATTGTTGCTCTGAACTACATTTGTCATAAAGCAAACAAAGATGGTCTGCCTTAAACCATGGATGGTCTGCCTTAACCACAATTGATTCTGTTTATGATTTATGGTCTGATCCAACAGGACGAAAACCAACTGCAGGGGCCAAATACATACAAATTGGCTTCCAGGAGACGTGCGGGCAGTGGCAGGAATAAGGAGAGTGGGGAAAAAAGCTTTTAACACTGTTTTTTCTTAACTGGACCTGCAGTATAGTCCTGGTTTCTTGGATACTGACAAATGGTGAGCCTTTCAAAATGACATTTATAGGCACTGAAACCTGGTTGACTCTTCAGCCCCTATTAAAAGAAATATACTGATCTGCTGGATTCTCCAAACTGTGGCATGGTTAATTATATTAACATTTCCATAAATCATTTGTTCATCCTTTCTAAATTAGCCACATGCCTATGCCTATATTTCAAGTGGCTCCTAATAATAAAATAATCTGTTTCTCTAGCAATGCTTTTCATTTCAGGTAAGCATTGGTGCCGTGGTGTCCTGTATACGAGAGATTAGAAGATTTACATCGGTGAAAACATTATTATTCCTAGTTGTCATACACCACAGGTAAACAGAAATAGGTGACCATATTTTGAAATGAGTACAGAAATACGTGATATAATTGCACTGATTCAAATAACAGAGTATAATGCTAAAGAGTTCTATTGTGCTGAAATGTGTGCACAGCAGCTCAATTGTATTATGCAGGCCAGGTCACCGCATGGGAACAAAATGAGTGTGAAGAGCTCCTTCATCTCTAATCATCTGCAGACAAAAAGTGCACCTTTTATTTCTCCCCCCAACTTGATATAAAGGTTAGATGGACTCTGTACTCATCAACAAAAGTGTTGTATGTAGACAACAGATGCAGCATTTCCTCTTCAAATTCCGAGGTTAGTAATGGATGTAGAGAGGGGGTTTCATATGTATATGCTGTGATATTTGCTCCGGTTAATGGACTGTATTTGAGTACTTACTAGGCTAAGTTCAAACAAAATAAAATCAAATTTCCATTTAATGAAGAGCATCACATTCAGCACAGTATTCAGTCAAAAAAATTACTAAAAATTAGAGCATGTTTCTAGTACAATTAACATCATTTGCACTCACAATAAAATATTCAATAACTGACCATTTTGCCTGTTGAGGAGGTGAATAAAAGCATGCTATTAATCATTTAGCCTTCATTTGTTTGCCATTTTATTTTAAGTAGACAATTAAATTGAAACTGCACATTATTATTACTTCAGGTTTAATTTAATCCCTTTAAACTTGAGAATTATTCCCAATTTATACAGTGTTAAACCCTTTATGCACATGACAGCAAATTAAATTTTATTTTATGCACCAAGTAAACACTTTCTAAAGAATGTTTAAAGGTGACAGTAACCCTGAAAATTTTAATTTTAGATTTATACAGCTATAAGGACAAAACTGCATTTATTCAACCCACCAATTTTTGCCTCTAAGTTTTCTTACAGGAAGTGGCCTGGTTTGCTCAGGCCAGGTCTTTCTGTAAGGAACGAAAAGAGGATGTGTTGGTACCGGTCCTTGTTTTCTCTCTGGTCCTTTTCCACAGCCCAGCTCCAGAAACCTTCTAGCCCATGATCTCAGAGCTGCTGCACCACCTGAAGGTCTGACAGTTACATGGCAGTGGTTGCCTATTTGAGATGGTAGCCAGCACGTACTGCTAAATATTATAGTGCCTGGTCCATAGCCCATTACAGTCATTGGACTGCAGTTCTGGATCAAGTAGACAGGAATAAGAGGGGATCTACATATAATAGGCCTTTACCAAAAGAAACTGTAGTTAAACGCTCCCCCATTAGCTTAACCAGTAATGTTTAAGGGTAGTGGTTAGCATATATCTGTTCACCACTTCCTACCTTCTTGTCTGCCTGTTTTAGAGGCACCTAAATAGGCACGTAGCGTTCGCCTCTGTATGCAGTGTCTAGAACCAGTAACGTGGGGAGCCTATAAGGGTCTGTGAGGGATGTTTTCCTTTCCATCTTACTCTCCTACACTGGTGTTTTAGCCAATAAACAGTTGAGGCATAATAATTATGAATGTGGGTAAGATGAAACAGTACATCTTTGTGTGTAACTAAGTCCGTAGATGCTCTTAATAGCACTTTGGCAATATAAATTGGTCTTGAATATGTAATGTATATTCTGAGGAGCATAAGGTTTTAAAGGGTCAGAACTATTCTACTCATCTACTAAAATCCTATGCCTTACCTTCCATTACCATCATTCTTTTGCATTCCATTTGTATATTGATTTGTGTCATACTCAGCTCCTTCTTGTTCTTTTAGACTCATCTCCTCCAAGCTCTCTTCTAAGCTGTCACTCTCCAACTCATCAGAATACAGTCCTACCAGCTCTTCATTTTCACGAATCCGCTGCTGGAGTTCTAACTGATACTGTCTCTCCTGAACAAGGCTTTCAGAATCAGACTCTTGGGAGTCATGCAGACTTGAGGGAGAGCCCCCTTGGCTTATAGATGGCCTTTTCCAATTCGCAGGGTGGAAATCCGGTTGCATGAGTATGCTTTGGGGAAAATCTTTTTTACTCATTTTGCAAGCGTGTGGAAAAGAAACTGAAATACTTTGTATCTGAAGAATTCATTCCGTGTTTTGCACTGATGGTATACACTAGCCCTGTATTTGGAAAACATGAGAGCAAACATAAAAAGGTTTTTCACTCTACGATACTGATTATATTTGTTAAAAGCTGGAATTGGGGGTAGTATCATTGGCTTGGGCTCAGAATTTGATCTTCTACAGTTAAAACGATTCTTTAGTCTCAGCTGTTACATTGATTTTCATTTAAGCAGTTAAGGTCAAAGTCCCTATACAGCAAATGCATGACTTATTACTATGAAATCTACCTTAAACTGAAATATTAGTGGTAACAAAGCTAATCATGTATAAACAGTTTATGAAAAAGAAAATGAAGCTATGACAAAGCAACAAAATTTTATCTGTTAACTTCTGAGAGGTAAAGAAATTTTGTATGTTCTCTTTATTCAACTCTGTATCATCTTGATGAGTAAGTTATCAGCAAGAAAGTGTGTGTGTGACAGAAAAGAACGCAGTGAAAAGAACTGGAACACTTCTTAAAACAGAAAGTTTCTTTTCATTTGGTTGCATTTAAATGTTCCTAAGTCATTTACACCACCAGATACTTACAAGATAAAGTGTCTGGGAGGAAGGAAAAAGGCAGTGTTTTGTGAAGAAAGGTGCATTAGTCAGTTACAGTGCATACAGTGTGAACAATCAGTTTAAAGGTACACAGCGAGTTTCACTTTAGTACACTTCACTTACGACTGTTAAGATACGGAAATGCAAAATATAATTTCTAATTTTTCAGGGCTAGCACTGCTTGTCACATGCGAGTTTACCCTCCGGGAGGCCTTTTACACCCGGGCGGACACCTGTATCCACTGCTCCCGTCGCCGATCGCTGATGGGAGGTGGCTCACACCCTGCAGCCCGGAGAGGGAAGCCTGGCACCGGCAAGGAAGTTTTCGCTGGAAACCGCCTCT